TAAAAAAGAATACAAACTGTAGTTATCAAGCTCATGTGGGTGCAGTTATTGTTAACCTTGATAAAGTTGAAAGAAGACTTTCGTTTAGAATTTAAAGTTTTTGTTTGTTTTCTTGGGGTTTTCGTTGTTATTAGAATTAAAATTGGAAAATGGGCATTATTAACATCCAAGAATATAACTTCGACTGAGAATTTATCAATACTTTAAAGATGCACTAATATTAGACCGTTCTCAAGACCATTCGTACGTACTTTCTACAAAGACATCCAAGAAAATCACTACTCAATATCCAAACCTTATCCAAATTATTCCTACCTCAATATATTGTCTTTAAATTCGCTTCATGTTCCAATACTTTTCTGACTTGAAAAAATCAAAATGTCTGCCACTTTCGAATCAACAACAAGAAAACTTTTCACACCACTCACATTAGGAACTGACAAAATTCCAGCCACTCAGAGAATTACTTTGTCCCATCGTATTGTGATGGCTCCACTCACTCGTTGCAGAGCAGTGGATGTAAGTAGTACTATTCCTATTTTGATTAATCAACATTTTTCATATATTGAACTGTTAAACACAAATATTAGGGAGATTGTGAACAAACAGAACATGCAATTGTAGCCGGAAAGATTTTTCCTCTGGTCTTTCCAGGAAAGAGTTTCGCTGAAAAATGTTTCCTGGAAATTCCAGTAAACAATATTGATTCATCCTTATTTGAGTTGTTTTATTACCATAATGGCAAAAGTGACTGTATGTGAAGAATCCACCTTAATTTGTAATTTTTTGTTCTGAAGCAAACCAATGATATTAGGAAAAGACATCATGTACTAATTTACTATTTTATTTGATGAAATCAAGTGGAGAATACATAAAACAGATGTTGCTACAAGAAAACACAATGCTAATAATAAAAATATAATTTTATTTAATTATTGAAATAATTCAAGGTGGAAAATCAGCAAGATTTACGACCTTGAAATTTACCTTGTTGGAAAATTCACCATTAGTGAATTTTATTGATGGTATGATGATGATGACCATTAAGATATTTACCTTAATGATCGGAAGTGGACTTGCTGATGATATTGATGATAAAAGATATGATGAAGTGAAAATTCCACAACTCTATGAATACTAAGTGGAAAAATTCCAACTCTCTTGATGGTGATATTAGACATCCCTACTAATGATACTATGTTGTTGAAATTCAATCATCATGATGAAAATATATGGTGAATGATGAATACACCACCAACAAGGTGAAAACTCCAAATATCCAAAAACTATTCGGAGTGTTGTTGATGATGTATTTGAATGGTACTATTCGAAGAAAGTTTGGTTGATGATGAAGTACATGTTGAAATATGGTCAATGTTATTTTGAATATATACATGTACCTATCTTGATGAAAACAAAATTCCAATCTATGAAACTCGAATATGTATTGCTATATACTATTACAAATAATCCCACATTTGAATTTCTGATAATGGTCCAGTACATCGGAAGATATTGGCCAATTTAGTGAAAAATTAACTTTTGTCAAAATAATACTATTCTCAAATTAAAGTCTACAAATACTATTGTTATAATGATGGTAAAAATTAATGATGATGGTTGGTGTGTGTTCTGATGATGATTCACCAACTTGAATTTTTCCAATATCAAAATTACTATCTAATTCCATAACGATAAACTTCCACATAAAACTACTATTATTACTATTATATTGATGATGTATAGATGATGAGGTTCAATTCTTGGAGTGGGAAGATGAAGAACCACTCCGAAAATAAGCTACTCATAAAATTGATATTTTTTATGAATGCAAGGTACTTCTTTGTTGAGTTTGCTGTGAATATTCTTTTGATGTCTTTGAGGCTCAAAACTGTGCAATTAGCTTCGGACTCAAAACTATTAAGGAAGCATTGCTTCCATTTTTATGTTGCTTACTGGATTTTCCAGGAAAGATTTCTTTAAGAAACTCTTTCCTAGAATACCCCAGCCAGAAATCTTTCCGGCCACACTAATTTCTTTAATTCCATGAATTTTATTGGATTTATGGCAACCTACAAAATTGGCATTGAAATTTGGCGCCTTTTTTCTGTACAATTAAAAAGTATCATAAAAAAACTTTAAAAAAAAACCCAACGCTTCGCCCTTATAACCAATAGATATCTATTTACTATAGTAATGA